AGAGCCGATTCTCATTACTTTTCTTCATATATTTGTTTTCCAGCGCCTTCCATAACTTATTGGCAGACGTCTCTTTAATGAATGGATATTTCTGCTCTCTACAAAGACATGAGCGAATCATCCCACATGCTTTTACATTCAACCTCACCCAGTCTTTCTCATAGACACCTTCTGGTTTTTCCTCCAGAACCTTAATAAAACACAATTCTGCAGAGTTTCTTGATTATGACAAAAAAAAATAAATAAATAATCGTGTTAAATTTGATTATGATGTAATAAAGAAGAAGAAAAAAAGTGTTGTGAGATCTTGAAGATCAAGTTAGAATTTGTTAATGTACTCTCAGGGATGCTTTATTACAGATTTTGATATTATAAACTACTTAAATATATAGCTGAGTATATACATTTTAGTTTCTGTTAGTGTGTCAAATTGTATGGTGGTGTTTATAGCCGTAGTTTCTGGTAGATGCCAAAAACTTTTATGCAGTCTTGGTCTTGAGCATAATGCTCCCATCAAAACAGCCGGTATTGATTAAAGGTGAAAGACTGGTAAATTTGGAACTTCTGTGTTGAAAAGTCCATCAGAAGAATCTGAACCATTTAACAATGAAGTTTTTATACTTTTGAGGAAATAATGAAGTTTTTTCAAATCCTATTTGTTAGATTGAACATAATGTTCCCACCAAAGCAGCTAGTATTAGAGGACTACATGGAAAGTGTTAGGATCCCATATTGAGAGGGAAGAAAGGTAGACATTGGGTTTATAAGGGCTTGAACACCCTTGGCAAGCTGGTTTTTCAAGGAAAGTTCTACCCAAGCCCACAAAGTATCAAAGCCAAATCCCACCCTTCCCACCCTAGCCCATGTTATGGAATGGGAGACATAAGAGAGTAGGCCACCTAGAGTGAAACTGTCCAGAGTGGGGTAACAATGTTTTAGAAGAGGCAACCTGGGAGAGTAGCCCACCCAGAATGAAGCCGTCCAAAGTGGGCCAACATGAACATTGGGTCTCAAAGCCTTGAGAGGGAAGAAGGGTGGGCGACATGGGAGAGTAGGCCATCCAGAGTGAAACTATCCAGAGTGGGCTAACAATGTTTCGGAAGAGGCAACTTGTGAAAGGGCTACCTAGGAAAGGGTGACCTGGGAGAGTAACTCGCTGTCCAGAGCGAGCCAATGTGGACAGTGGGTCTCAAAGCCTTGAGAGGGAAGAAGGGTAGACATGTAGTTTATAAGGGCTTGGGCACCCTTCCTTGGCAAGCCAGTTTTTCAAGTAGATTTCTACGTAAGCCCACAAAAGGACCACTGTCTAGCCTAATTCTTATCAAAAGTCCCATACCCAACCCAATTCCTATTAATTTGGGAGTGGGTTTCTATCAAAGTCAGCCAAAGTGATGTTCAAAACATATAGGTTAGGGATACGTAGCTTCCAATGTTTCTGAAGCAAAAAATGATTTTTTGCACAGAATGCTACAAAAGGCCATCTTTCATGATTCTTTTATTGTTATTAAACAGACTTTACTAGACCAAATGACATAAACATGCTGGAAAATGCTTAGCATAAACTTTTAGACCAACATCGATTACTTCATTTTCCAACGAAGAATAAATATTAAGCTTTTTTCTCTAGTGTTTGTTTTTCTCTTCATTTTTTGTCTATAGTACCTATCACTTAGCACATAATATTAAATACTAACAATGACATTCTGACAACCAAGTGTGAATTCAATACTCTGGTAAATGGTTTCTATAATTAAGAAAAGAGAAATAAATTGTTGAAATGTGAACACTTTTTGATAATTGATAAAGAAAAGGCAAGCAAGAAGAAAAGGCAAACAAGAAGAAAAATGAATTTAAGTTTTAGGCAAATTTATAGTTTAGGAATTTGTAATTGAGAATAATTGTTTTCCTTTTCCATTGTGAGATGTATTAGGAAAGAATAGTTGATTTAGGACTTTATTTAAGTTAAAATAGAAGAATGATTCTAAATTAGAAAAGTTCTATTAGGAACAGGAATATGAATCCTAGTAGAATAAGAATGTTTTACTTTACTTATAAAATAGGGGAATTAAAACCTATTCAAGGTTATAAGAGAGGGAAGTAAAGAAAGAGAGAATGTGAGGATACAAGAGGTTTTAATGTAAGGATACCAACGAGTATTAAACACCATAGTAACAAGATGTTCGACTGAAGAATTAGAGAATCCAAAGATCACTTATAATGAAGGTTGATGGTGTGATGAAACACTTGTATCGTATTTATATTATTATAGTAAAAACTCTCTCATCCGTAGATGTAGTCGAGTTATGCTGAACCACTTAAAATATCGTGTGCCTTTGTGTGTTATGTATTCTTGTTCCTTATTTTATGTTTTTTTCCTCTTCCGATTTCCAACATGGTATCAGAGCAGATTCTTATTTTTCAACAGAAACTGTACATTCTTGTGAACAAAGTATAATAGATATACATATTGACGTTGTTTACAATCATTTCTGTTATTTTAATTTCACAATAAGAGATGGGTTGGTTCACCTGGTCTTCTCAACTTTTCTGCTTACTGTTATTGCTCTTTTAGTCTCAAAGTTATGCAAATCTGTGCTCTCATGACCAAAGTTCTCCACTTCTCAAGTTTAAGCAACTCTTTTTGTCCGATGAAATTTCTTCCGATTGTGATGAAATGATGAATTATCCGAAAATGATGAATTAAGGCACATAAATTTGAATATTATTAGCAAAGAAGTTGGAGAAAAAGAAAGGTAAAGTGTAATGAGGTTTCCTTCATTATAATATGATAATTTAAATATTAGCTAAAGGATAAAGTGGTAATCCTTAGCTTGTAAAATAATAGTTATTGGTAGTCGGTAGAGCTTACATAATGGTTTGTTTAAGACCATGGTACCATGATGTTGTCCAAGAGTTTGACAGGTGGCTCAACTTCTCTGTACTTTCTCCCTCTCGCGACTTACCTGGAAAGGCGCCAAATTTTGTCTCACTTCAGCTTTGGTGCTTAGCTGTCTCTCTCTCCTCTGCCAACAACCCGTCTTTTGTCACTCACTTAATACATTATATATTTATATCTATACATAAAAATCGAAAGTCTTCGAACTTGAGAAATGGAGCTTTTTGATTCAACAGAGCATGCTTCGTTGACTTTCTTTCCACACTTATATTCAATAATGTATTCAGGTACTGAGTTTCTTCTCAAACCCATTTTCTCACGGGGGTTTTCTGCTTCATTACACTCAGTTCTGTTACTAGTTTTGTTATTCTCGTGGGTTTGGAAGAAACTGAGAGAGAGTGTTAGTCATAGAACTGAAGATTCAAATGAGAGGTTTAAGAAAAGGGGGGTTTTGTGTTATAAGAAAACGTTGGTGGGTTGTCTAAGCATTTCGGTGCTTAATCTTGTGTTGTGTTTATTGAGTTACTTCTATTGGCAAAGAAATGGTTGGTCTGATGATAAAGTGGTGACCCTTTTGGATTTAGTGGTGAAAGCGCTTGGTTGGGGTGCAATTTGTGTATATTTGCATACCCAGTTTTTTGATTCAGGTGGACAAAAGTTCCCATTTTTATTGACAGTTTGGTGGGCTTCTTACATGGCAATCTCTTGTTATTGACATTGTTCTTTACAGAAACGATGTGTCTTTACCCATTCAGTACTTAGTATCTTATGTTGTCTCTGTTATAAGTGGGTTGGTTTTATGTTATGTGGGGTTTTTTAAGAAAAGTGAGGGTGAAGGTACCCTCCTTCAGGAATCTCTTTTAAATGGTAATTCAAATGTAAGTGATGATGCAGGGTCAAGAATCAAGTCCAGAGGGGCCGATAATGCGATCCCTTATTCAAGTGCTGGTCTATTAACTCTTTTTACTTTCTCTTGGATGGGTTCCTTGATTGCTGTCGGCTATAAGAAAACATTAGACCTTGAGGATGTGCCTCAGTTGGATAGGCATGATAGTGTAGTTGAGGCTTTTCCAATTTTTAGAAGTAAGCTTGAAGCAGATGGGGGTGTGGGGAGTAGAGTTACCACACTAAACTGGTGAAGGCATTGATCTTATCAGCATGGAAGGAAATTCTGTTAACAGGTTTCCTTGTCCTTTTATACACAATGGCCACATATGTTGGCCCATATCTCATTGGCACTTTTGTGCAGTACCTCATTGGGAGTTGGGAATTTAAAAATGAGGGGTATGTTTTGGTTTCTGCTTTTTTTGTTGCAAAACTTGTGGAGAACTTCTCCGAGGTACACTATTTCTTTCGGTTGTAGTAGGTTGGAATTAGGATCCGAGCAGTTCTTGTCGCAATGGTGTACAATAAGGGTTTGACACTTTCTTGTCAGGCAAAGTAGGAGCGCACTAGTGGGGAAATAATAAATTTCATGACAGTTGACACTGAGAGAGTAGGTGATTTCAGTTGGTCCATGCATGATCCATGGATTGTGCTGTGCAAGTGGGTTTGGCCTTGTTTATATTGTATAGAAATCTTGGGCTTGCATCGATTGCAACTTTTTTGGCAATAATAATTGCTATGGTACCGAATTTTCCTTTGGGGAGATTGCAAGACAGGTTCCAAGTAAAGTTGATGGAATCAAATACGAGAATGAAGGCTACTTCTGAGATTCTAAGGAACATGAGAATTCTTAAACTTCAGGGATGGGAGAGGAAGTTTTTGTCGAAAATAGTTGAACTTAGAATGAGTGAGGCTGGATGGTTGAAAAAATATCTTTACACCTCTGCCATGACCAGTTTTGTCTTCTGGGGTGCCCCTAATTCTGTGTTTGTGGCCACATTTGGTGCTTGTATACTTTTAGGAATTCCACTTGAGTCGAGCAAGATCTTATCTGCACTTGCAACGTTAAAAATTCTTCAACAGCCTATCCAAAATCTTCCTGACACAATTTCAACCATAATTCAGACTAAAGTTTCGCTTGATAGAATTGCATCTTTCCTAAGTCTTGAAGACTTGAAGGCTGATGTTATAGAGAAGCAGCCAATTGGTAGTTCTGATAAAGCAATTGATATAGCTGATGCGAACTTCTCCTGGGATGTTTCTTCCCCAAATCAAACGCTAAGAGACATCAACTTGAAAGTGTTCCATGCATGCGAGTTGCAGTTTGTGGTACTGTTGGCTCGGGTAAATCTAGCTTACTTTCCTGTATCTGGGGAGAAGTACCCAAGATATCTGGTAATCTTAAGCTGTGTGGTACAAAGGCTTATGTTGCTCAGTCACCGTGGATACAGAGTGGCAAGATTGAAGACAACATCTTGTTTGGTAAGGAGATGGACAGAGGAAGGTATGACAGAGTTCTTGAAGCATGTTGCCTTAAGAAGGACTTAGAAATCCTTCCTTTTGGTGATCAGACAGTTATAGGTGAGAGGGGAATCAATTTGAGTGGAGGACAGAAGCAAAGAATACAGATTGCGCGTGCTCTATACCATGATGCTGATATCTATCTGTTTGATGATCCTTTTAGTGCTGTGGATGCACATATAGGATCCCACCTCTTCAAGGTTGTATCTGTTCCTATCATAAATGCCTTCACTTCTTGTGGAATTTATTTTTTATTCAACTAATTTATGCGTAAATGTTTCTCGACTAATGGGGATCTGTGCTTGTGATGGACTGTGGGATTCTTTCTTCTTTTAAGGAAATACTTAACGGAACTACTACTTAATTTTATGTGGCAGGAAGTTTTGTGGGGTGCTCTGAGTTCAAAAACGGTGATTTATGTTACTCATCAACTGTGGTTCTTAAATGCTGCTGATCTTATCTTGGTGAGAAATTTTAATTTCTCCTTTTGCTTTTTGTTTTTTGATTGGGTGCATTGCTTCAAATTCATAACTCATTAACTCTATTTATCCCTTGCTGTGTTAGGTAATGAAAGATGGAAAGATTACACAGTCTGGAAAGTACAGTGACATTCTGAATTCGGGAACCGACTTTATGGAACTTATGGGTGCACATAAGCAAGCTGTGTCAGCTTTGAAGTCCATCGATGGTGGGCTAGTTTCAGAAAATGTAAATACTAGCAAAGAAAATTGTGGCAGAAGTAGTAATGGTGTTGTTAATAAAGAGAAACATAAAGATATTCAGAATGATAAAGCAGAGGAAGTAGCAGAGGCAAAAGGGCAACTTGTGCAAGAAGAAGAGAGAGAGAGAAAGGTAGAGTTGGGTTTTGGGTGTACTGGAAGTACATCACCGCAGCATATGGAGGAGCCCTTGTACCATTTATATTGTTGGCACAGATTCTCTTTCAGGCCCTTCAAATAGGCAGCAATTATTGGATGGCTTTGGAACTCCTGTGTCTGAGGATGCAAAACAATCTTTTGGGGGCTTTACACTAATTATTGTTTATGTAGCTCTGGCTATTGGGAGTTCCTTTTGTATACTTTGCAGAGCCACACTTCTTGCAACGGCTGGATACAAAACTGCCAGTATTCTCTTTAATAAAATGCATCTGTGTATTTTCCGTGCCCCCATGTCTTTCTTTGATGCGACCCCTAGTGGACGAATTATAAACAGAGTGAGTGTTTATATATATCTTTTGTTTGTGATATCAGGTGATTTAACATTGGGGTAATTGTTTTCAAAATTGTCTTCTCTGGTTGCAACAGAGTAATGTTCTTCTGTGTTTTCTTAACTTTTTGAATATCAATATTATACCAAATATTGAATATTTGAATATTCTTAATTTTTGTGCTTTTGCTCGTATAGGCTTCTACCGATCAAAGTGCATTGGACTTGAACATTCCGTTTCAAGTTGGGGCTTTTGCATTCTCAATGATCCAGCTTCTAGGAATCATTACAGTGACGTCTCAGGTTGCATGGCATGTTTTTCTTGTTTTTATCCCTATGATCGCCACCAGCATTTGGTATCAGATAATCCTTCTGCTCTTGGCGACTCTTCTAAGTTATGCCAAATTATGGCTTCGCATCAGATCTCCTATGCAATCTTGACTATTACCTCATGTTTTTTTGTATTATTTAGTTTTTCTATGAGAATTGTTGATTTTCTGGATTATGCATCTAGTTATAATTGCGTATAAAACATAATTATTAAAGTGCTCTTGGTCATATCTGTATTCCCTTATTTTCTAAGTTACAGAATTTCCACGGAATAGTTAATATAATGTGATTATGTGAAGTCCGTTCATTGTCATAGTTTTTACCGTTTTCTGATGGTTGTTTTCTGACAGTGATATAATTTTGCAGCAATATTACTTACCTTCTGCACGAGAACTTTCACTGTTAATCAGAGTATGCAAGTGCTAATAGTACAGTTATAGATTTTTTTAAAATTAATTATCTTTTTTATAACAATTTGAAGTTTTTTCACGTTGTGTATGTCACATTATTAATTTAATTGTGAAAAGTGGTATAAAAACAATTATAGATAATATTGATAGAATTAAAGATTCTTTAGTTTGGATTACTAGTAGTAATAAAAGAAATGTTAAATTTCAAGATGCTAGTATAAAATCAAATATGTCTCCTAGAGCTTTTGCATTAGACATGTCTGTTAGATGGAATAGTACTTATTTAATGCTTAATTCATGTTTACCTTATGCAAATTTAATTAGTTATTTTATAGCAAATAATAGAGGTCCTCATTATTTGGTAGAGAATGATTAGCATATAGCTAAAATATTTCATTCTTTTCTTAAAATTTTTTACCAATCCACTTTACAACTTTTTGATGTGTATTATCCTACTAGTCCATTGATAATACATACAATTATAAAAATTTCAGAGTTTTTTATAAAAAAACAGAAACAATGAAATTTTAGGGGGACCAATAAAGGCAATGGAATTTTTTTTAAAAAAATATTGAAAACTTATTCCTTTTCTTTATTGTTTAGGCGCTATATTTGATCATAGAATTAAAGTAGCAGGTTTAGAAAATGGTTTAGACACATTAACTGAAAATTTACAAAACGAAGCATATGCCAATTAACTAGGAGAGGTAAGAAAGTGTCTTGCAGAGGTATATTTGCGCTATGAAAATAGGTATTGGAACCATCAAAGAGGCATAATACCCAGGGAAGTTGCATCAGAAGAAACAAATGAAGACTTCTACTCTTGGAATGCACTTAATAGGCCGAAGAGGACTCGAACCCGAAGCACAACCTCCTCTTTAGAAGCACTAATAACAAATATACTGTTCTCTACGCAGTCACAGAGTAATGAGCTTTAACAATATTTGGGAACCCTCGAAATATTACTAGTAGATCCACAACAAAGAGCCAACTTTGATGTCTTAGAACATTAGAAAACGAGAAAATGTATTTTTTCAGTATTATCAAGATTTGTCTTGGATGTTTTCGCTATTCCTGTCTTAACCGTCTCATCCGAACAAACATTTAATGCAAGTGAAAGAATTTTAAATGAAAGAAAGACTAAACTTTTACAAAAAATGATTGAAGTCCTCACATGTCTTCGAGATTGGGAACGGTCGCGCCATCAAGATCAGTACGAGGTTGTCAACGATACTTTAATAGAATCATTTCAATTTTTAATATAGATAATACAGATGAGGGAAATTTTAGTCAACCCCCAAATTAGTTGTTTTCTAAATTGTAATTTACAAATTAATTGTCAATTATTGCACTCTTTTTTCTTTACCAAGTTTTTGTCCCATTGAGTTTTTCTTAGTGAGGTTTTTAACGAGACAATAATTTTTTTGATAAATGCTAAGAGACATCAACTTGAAAGTCTTCCATGGCATGCGAGTTGCAGTTGTGGTACCGTTGGCTCGGGTAAATCTAGCTTACTTTCCTGTGTCTTGGGAGAAGTACCCAAGATATCTGGTAATCTTAAGCTGTGTGGTACAAAGGCTTATGTTCCTCAGTCATTGTGGATACAGAGTGGCAAGATTGAAGACAACATCTTGTTTGGTAAGGAGATGGACAGAGAAAAGTATGACAGAGTTCTTGAAGCATGTTGCCTTAAGGACTTAGAAATCCTTCCTTTTGGTGATCAGACAGTTAAGGTGAGAGGGGAATCAATTTGAGTGGAGGACAGAAGCAAAGAACACAGATTGCGAGTGCTCTGTACCATGATGCTGATATCTATCTGTTTGATGATCCTTTTAGTGCTTTGGATGCACATACAGGATCCCACCTCTTCAAGGTTATATCTGTTCCTATCATAAATGCCTTCACTTCTTGTGGAATTTATTTTTGATTCAACTAATTTATGCGTAAATATTTCTCGACTAATGGGGATCTGTGCTTGTGATGGACTGTGGTATTCTTTCTTCTTTTAAGGAAATACTTAACGGAACTACTACTTATTTTTATGTGGCAGGAAGTTTTGCTGGGTGCTCTGAGTTCAAAAACGGTGATTTATGTTACTCATCAACTGCAGTTCTTAAATGCTGCTGATCTTATCTTGGTGAGAAATTTTAATTTCTCCGTTTGCATTTTGTTTTTTGATTGGGTGCATTGCTTCAAATTCATAACTCATTAACTCTATTTATCCCTTGCTGNGGGATGTTTCTTCCCCAAATCAAACGCTAAGAGACATCAACTTGAAAGTGTTCCATGGCATGCGAGTTGCAGTTTGTGGTACTGTTGGCTCGGGTAAATCTAGCTTACTTTCCTGTATCTTGGGAGAAGTACCCAAGATATCTGGTAATCTTAAGCTGTGTGGTACAAAGGCTTATGTTGCTCAGTCACCATGGATACAGAGTGGCAAGATTGAAGACAACATCTTGTTTGGTAAGGAGATGGACAGAGAAAGGTATGACAGAGTTCTTGAAGCATGTTGCCTTAAGAAGGACTTAGAAATCCTTCCTTTTGGTGATCAGGCAGTTATAGGTGAGAGGGGAATCAATTTGAGAGGAGGACAAAAGCAAAGAATACAGATTGGCGTGCTCTGTACCATGATGCTGATTTCTATCTGTTTGATGATCCTTTTAGTGCTGTGGATGCACATACAGGATCCCACCTCTTCAAGGTTATATCTGTTCCTATCACAAATGCCTTCACTTCTTGTGGAATTTATTTTTTATTCAACTAATTTATGCATAAATATTTCTCGACTAATGGGGATCTGTGCTTGTGATGGACTGTGGTATTCTTTCTTCTTTTAAGGAAATACTTGAAGGAACTACTACTTATTTTATGTGGCAGGAAGTTTTGCTGGGTGCTCTGAGTTCAAAAACGGTGATTTATGTTACTCATCAACTGCAGTTCTTAAATGCTGCTGATCTTATATTGGTGAGAAATTTTAATTTCTCCTTGTGCTTTTTGTTTTTTGATTGGGTGCATTGCTTCAAATTCATAACTCATTAACTCTATTTATCCCTTGCTGTGTTAGGTAATGAAAGATGGAAAGATTACACAATCTGGAAAGTACAGTGACATTCTGAATTTGGGAACCGACTTTATGGAACTTAGGGGTGCACCTAAGCAAGCTTTGTCAGCTTTGGAGTCCATCGATGGTGGGCCAGTTTCAGAAAATGTAAATACTAGCAAAGAAAATTGTGGCAGAAGTAGTAATGGTGTTGTTAATAAAGAATGTTGAAGGTTGATACTTGGCTGGAAATGCAGCAGTTCAACTGATGTTCAAACATGTTTTTGGCGGTAAAACTGAAAGGCAATCTGCCAGGGGTCCATTTGTAATACTGCAAAGTTTTACTCTTTTTGTAATGCTTGATATGTATCCCAGATTATGTGGGATGTGTTACAGAGTTGTTGTTTAGTTGGTATTAAGTCAGTAGCTTCAGATTAAATTAAGTTTTTATATGTCTGCATGTTTGGTGTAATAGTGTAAGAAATCTGCTTTATTAGTTGAAGTGTAAACTCTTTTGAACTAAAGAAAAAAAAGGCACTTTTCTTCAATCGTTTTTTGCTCTCTTTCTTTTCTTAGTGATCTCCAGCACATAATCTCCAACAAAGAAGAACATAAAGATATTCAGAATGATAAAGCAGAGGAAGTAGCAGAGGCAAAAGGGCAACTTGTGCAAGAAGGAGAGAGAGAGAAAGGTAGAGTTGGGTTTTGCGTGTACTGGAAGTACGTCACCGCAGCATATGGAGGAGACCTTGTATCATTTATATTGTTGGCACAGATTCTCTTTCAGACCCTTCAAATAGACAGCAATTATTGGATGGCTTTGGAACGCCTGTGTCTGAGGATGCAAAACAACCTGTTGGGGGCTTTACACTAATTATTGTTTATGTAGCTTTGGCTATTGGGAGTTCCTTTTGTATACTTTGCAGAGCCACACTTCTTGCAACGGCTGGATACAAAACTGCCAGTATTAAAATGCATCTGTGTATTTTCCGTGCCCCCATGTCATGTGACCCTGAGTGGACGAATACTAAACAGATTAAGTTGATATATATTTATCTTTGTGACATCAGGTGATTTAACAAGGGAATATTTGCTTTTCAAGTTCTTTTCTCTGTTGTCAACAGAGAAACATTTTTTTTGTGTGTTTCCTACTGAATGTTGTTAATTCCAATATTATACCAACTATAATTTGTATGCTTTTGCTTGTACAGGCTTCTCTACCGATCAAAGTGTTGTTGATTTGAAAATTCCGTCTCAAGTTGGGTCTCTTGCGTTCTTGATTATCCAGCTTCTAGGAATCATTATTGTGATGTCTCAGATTGCATGGCAGGTTTTTCTTGTTATCCCTGTGATTGCCAGCAGCATTTGGTATCAGGTAATCGTTGTGTCCCCGGCTACTCTTCTAAGTTACACCAAATTATGGCTTCACATCAAATCTCCTATATAATCTTTAGTATTACCTCAGGTTTTTTGTATTGTCTTTTGTTTTAGTTTTTCCACGAGAATATTAGATGTTCTAGATCATGTATCAAGAGGTAATTGCTTGTAAAGTTATTTTTTAAGTTACAGAATTTGCAAAGTTCTAGAGAAGAGTTAATATAATGTGATTATGTTAACTCGACTCATTATCATATTGTTTAACATTTTCCAAAGGGTGATTTCTGACAGTGTTATAATTTTGCAGCAATATTACTTACCTTCGGCAAGAGAACTTTCACGATTAGTAGGAGTATGCAAAGCTCCAGTGATACAGCATTTTGCTGAAACAATTTTAGGGTCAACAACTATCAGGAGCTTTGATCAAGAATCAAGGTTCCGAGACACAAAAATGAAACTGATGGATAGATATTCTCGGCCCAATTTCCAGGCTGCTGCTGCAATCCAATGGCTATGCTTCCGACTGAATATGTTATCTTCTATAACGTTTGCCTTTTCTTTGATTTTCCTAACTTCTATTCCAAAGGGTGCTATTGATCCAGGTATTTGTTTCACAAATGTTATTGCTATATGTTTTGGTATAGACATTAATTGTTAAAGGAGCATATAACAAACCTTTTTTTCTTTTCCTTTTTTAAAGCAATTGTGGGCGTGGCTGTGACTTATGGACTCACTCTAAACTCATTACAATTTTATGTCATATACAATCTATGCACTCTAGAGAACAAGATTATTTCAGTCGAGAGAATACTTCAATACACTTGTACTCCTAGTGAGCCACCTCTTGTGATAGAAGAAAGTCGGCCTTACCGTTGTTGGCCGTCACAGGGAGAAGTTTACATTCGTGACTACAGGTAATTCTACTGGTTTTATACTTCTATTCTCTCATTCTTCAGTAATATTTTCTTGATGAATTGTTATGGTTCGGGTGTAGGTCCGCTATGCCTCGTGCTTGCCACTTGTGTTACGAGGTCTGACTTGCAGTTTTCCGGGAGGAATGAAAACTGGCATTGTGGGGAGAACAGGAAGTGGTAAATCAACACCCATTCAAACAGTTTTCCGGATTGTTGAGCCTGCAGCCGGTCATATTATGATAGATGATATCTCATCAATTGGACTGCATGATTTACAGTCAAGACTGAGCATCATTCCTCAAGATCCAACCATGTTTGAAGGAACTGTGCGAAGCAACCTGGACACTCTTGAAGATTACACAGATGAGCAAATTTGGGAGGTGGGTTGCTTTTATATTTGATTATAGTAGGCAGTTTTTCCTCATATATCTGACATTCAGTGTTTTCAGATTTTGCAATTAAAGATTTGGTTTGGTAAAATTTATTTAAATGGGTATAGGCTTTGGATAAGTGCCAACTTGGAGATGAAGTTAGAAAGAAGGAAGGGAAGCTAGATTCCAAAGGTCTGTCTCCTCTTCTTCCTGTGGTATGAATTGTAAATTTTTTGAAACTCATAAAGGCACATAAGTTTCATTGTGTATGCTAATGTGGGTTTTGCAGTTACCAACATTGGAGAGAATTGGAGTATGGGTCAGAGGCAATTGGTGTGTCTTGGACGTGTGCTACTAAAGAAAAGTAAGGTCCTGGTGCTTGATGAAGCTACTGCATCTGTTGACGTTGCTATAGATAATCTGATTCAACAAACTCTACGGCAACACTTTTCTGACTGCACAGTCATAACAATTGCACATCAAATTACTTTTGTTATTGCTAGTGATATGGTTCTGCTTTTAAATAATGGTTAGTATGGTCATTAATTTAATTCTCCGATAGATTCGATAATATGACATATTCTTGGTTTTTCAACATCTTTGTGTAGGGCTTATCGAGGAATATGACTCTCCATCAAAATTGCTAGAAAAAAAAGTCTTCCTCTTTTGCTCAGCTAGAAGCGGAGTATACTGTGAGATCAAATTCCAGTTTTGAGAAGTAAACTTGAATTTGTAGGTTGGTTCAAATGTTGTTTTATTAAGAATTTTTGTTGCAGGATATGATTGAAAATGTGTTAGAGATAAAGGATACACATGTTAGAGAGGTGATGACACCTCTTGTTGATGTAGTTGCAATTGATGCAAGTGCCACTCTTGTTGCCTTCCACACCTTGTGGGTGACTCATCAATATTCAAGGTAAATTAATTATTGGTACTTTTGCTTCAGCGAGTGCATATTCAAAAAGTTAAGAAGTTTGAGGATGTGTGTTTAGGGTGCCTGTGAACTGTGATTGAGGAACGTTTTGAAAATATAGTGGGCATTGCTTATGCAATGGATCTGCTGGATTATGTTCAGAAGGTCAGGGGATTTCTATTCCTCTTCCTCCCTGTCTAAGGCTAATACCACGTTTTTTATTGATTTTATGCAACAATCTCATAGTGTGCAGAATTATGATCTTTCTATTTTGAAGGGGGATCTCAAAGAAAGTACTACAGTGGGAGACATGGCCCACAAACCTGCATACTTCGTCCCTGGTAATCCTTCGAGCCAATTTTAAGTTGTTGCTGTGTTTCTTTTAATGAAATTTATTGTATTATTTATTTTTCTGTGAATCTGTTGTTTATATTATCTGTCTCAATTAAATAGGGTTTTGTCATTGATTTTGCAGATTCAATGTCAGTTTGGAATCGTCTCAGACAGTTCCACATTAGGAAGGTTCAAAAATGATTATGGTGGAACTGTGGGGGTATATACACACACTCATGTAGAGTATTATCATGATTCCATTACAGTAACAAGGAAAGGATATGAGTTTGACCTAGTGAAAATTATCACTGCTTTCACTGCCATTAACTTTTATGGAGATATTCCAAAAGAAATTGGATCCCATCATCACTTGGAAATTTGAATGCTCTTGAATCCTTGGACCTTTCTTCAAACAAGCTTGTCAGAAAAATTCCATGGTGGTTGAAAAATTTAGATTTTCTTGGGAGTGCTAGACTTGTCTCAAAAACCAACTCATAGGACCCATTCCACTGGCACCTCACTTTGATACCTTTGGAAATACTTCATACGCGGGAAACTCAGGATTGTGTGGATTTCCTTTGTCGAAAGAATGCAGTAAGTGATGAGACACTACAACCACCATCAGAATTTGAAGATGATGAAGATTTCCTTAATTTGTCTAAGTATTCATATAATAACTTTTTTTAGATTTATTAATGATTTAAAGCCAATATCAATATTAAATGATTTTCGGTATGACTATTTAGGAACTTGAGACTTGTACAAAATATAAGGGTTGGTCCAGAATGTGATATAATTTTATTATTATATCTTATTTTTAGAAGAAATAAAACTTTTGTTCCTTGCAAGTTCCAGCTTAAACCAATCAAATGGATTTTATATTTTACTATATCTTATTTTTTTGATGGCGAATTTGATATAAGGGTACTGTTCCAAACATTTAAATTAACTTATTAAAGCTAATATATTAAATCTAACGTTATTTATTTTTGAGTTCACTAAGTTCAGAAGATGAGATTAGATCAAATATTTAAAAAACAAGTATGACAGATTGGATTAAATTAAATTTTTTAGAAATCAATTTAATTGATTTAACTCATTCAGGATTTTTCTGGTAAAAATATATATATCAAGATCAAGTCAATGCTTAAATTTAATCATATTTATCCATATCATGTAGAACTCATCAATTCATTCATATAAATTCTATGGTAGTTCCGTAGATACGTACATATAGATTGAAATACTAGCTACTTGAAAGTATATCACATTGGATTTCAATATTATTTTCAAATACAAACTATATCTTTTTTTTTTTTTGTTTTTGTCCTTGTCTTGATACTGTATTTCCAGCAGACAACTTGAAAAAAAAAAAAAAAAAAAAAATTGGGGTTTAATCGGGTTGGCAAAGCTGAGTGGCCATCGATGCTCTATTTATAATTGGGTAAAATAATTTCATAGGATACTAATTTTAAACCTCAAACTTATATATGAATTCAATACTATATTAGTTCTTGTTAGATAGAGAAAAAAAAAAAAATTGAGACAAAGACCTTGACTGGAGTGTAAACCAAGTCCTCAGCTTTTACTTAAAAGTATTTTTTCTTAGTGAAAGAATATATGGTGTCCACAACATGGGGTAGAATTTCCCAACAAAATTGTGATCCACGTTGGTGGTGCTTTCCAAGTTTGTCGTTTTGTTGAGAAATTCTACACAGATTTTCTGCAATATTCTACCCCATGACGTGGACATCCTATTCTTCCACTAAGAAAAAATTATGAAATTATGTTAAAGAAGAAATTAATTAGTTGTGGTAGATAAGGTGAAGAGGTCCACCTATGTCCTTTGGAATGAATACCAGACAGAGATGTCTTACTTATTTTAAATCTAACAAGTCTTAGCATACATGTATAAGTCAATGCCAGAGAACAAGTAGTATTAGTATCCGCATCAAAAAATAAAAAGAACGCCTTGGTCAGTTGGTATAGGATTGTTCTTAGTCTTGAATGATATTTCCTTGAATTCAGTTGGTATAGGATTGTTCTTAGTCTTAAATGATATTTCCTTGAATCATATATAACGAAGACCGAGATTGATAAATAATTCATGAAGTAGTCCTCACTATATGAGACTGGAAAAAGCATTTACCTTTTGACGCACATTAACCATGGTTCAAGTCTCCTTACATAGTTTACATTGGATTCCTTCAATTTCTAATAGGATATAAGTATTGTTAAATAATATAAGAATTGTTGTTTTATTTATGTTGCTAAAATTAACTACCCTTACACTCCGTGTTAAGATGAGTCACAAAATATTTTTGATGTTATTAAAACTTTTTAATATGTAGTTTTATAATTTCTATGCTATACTTTTAGCAATTTTTTATGTATTTTCCCATAATCCTATTGTATGCCTTGATTAATTATCTTGTTTCAAAGTTTATATTACTTGCCCTTACAAAATTATTTGTGAGTATACGAAATAAAAAAAAAAAAAAAAATCATTCATTCATATTGTAGTTTTTTTTTCCCCTTAATTTTGAGATAAAATGTTGTTGAAAAAGATAAAAGGATTATACAATATATATATATATAGTGCGGACCTTTGACAAAATTATATCTATAGATATATATATATATATATATAGTGCTGACCTTTGACAATTATACAATCTTTTTTGCTCATGCAGTGACAAGGGGGGTAGAGGACTTATTACTCCAATAATTATTCGGCACCAATGTCTTGGTCTATTGACTGCAATAATTTAATGTGTCTACTTTCCAAGCCTAACAATTTATATATATATATATATTAGATCTACAAATTTGGTGATTGATTGTTAATAAATAAAAATGTAATAGAAGAATAGGTCTTGACCATGCGTGAGTTAAAATACATATGTAATAAGATATTTTGAAGCTTATGCATGCAAATTCATATCGGAATAGGATTCAAATTATCTCGAATATAACTTAGGTGGTGTGTTACAGGTTTTCTCTTTTATATAGGGATTTGGTGATGTTCTATTTCAAATCTGCTTATTCTATACTATGCATAAAATATAACTCTCATTTTTTACTTTTAATCAAAGGCATGTGGAAAGCAAAAACATAGACTCAAGACTTTCGTGTGAATTAATTGGAGACCATTTTAGCAACAAAATTGACAATTTTAACTTCTATAGTGCGAGTAATGTTAAATTTTCAAACTGTGTCCATGTTTGAATGATGCAATCGTTTAGTACCAAAAAGTGAAATGAGACAAGATTGAGTGGAATTCACGTAATTTTAACAAAATGTAATAATTAATGGGAGTGTTGGAAAGTAGACACATTAAGTTATTGTAGTCAATATAATAGACTAGGACAATAGTGCTGAATGAATTATTGTAGTAAAGTCCTCTCCTATACGTACCCCATTCCTCACGGCATGAGCTAAAGAGATGGTACAATTGTCAGAAGTTATATAACACAACAAAAGATCAGTATATATAATTAGATATGCATATATAGATCAAAATATTGCATAAGTAATAAATTAATATAAATTTGTCATTGATTGACAATAAATAAAAATGTAATAGAAGAGTAAATCTTAACCATACATTGAGTTAAATGACATAGGTAATAAGATTCTTTGAAGCTTATGCATATATGTAAATTCATATCACAAGATGATTCAAATTCATCTCGCATATGACTTAGAGTGTGTTACACATTTTCTCTTTTCTATGGTAATTTGGTGCGTTTATATTAAAATAGACTTATTTTACATGGTGCATAAAATATCTCTCTTTTTTTTTCCATTCAAACCACCTTATTTCACATGTAAATTCATATCACATGACTTAGACGGTGTGTTACATGTTTTCCCTTTTTCAAGGTAATTTGGTGATTTTTTATTTGAAACCTGCTTACTCTACACGGTGCATAGAATATAGCTATGCCTTTTAACTTTTAATTGAAGACATGTGGAAAAATAGAACCTAGAATCAAGACTTTTGTGTGATTTGGAAGCCATTTTAGCACCAAAAATGACAATTTGAACTTCCACAGTGCAAGTGATGTTAAATTTTTAAACTCATCATATTTGAATGATGCAACTTTTTGTACCAAAAAGTGAAATGAGACAAGATTGAGCGGAACTCACGTAATTTTAATAAAAGGTAATAATTAATGTGAGTGTTGGAAAGTAGACACATTAAAATTTAAAATATTGTATTCAATATAATATCGATATAATAGACTAGGACATTAATGCTGAAAAAATTATTGAAGTAAATAGTGCTCTACCCAATTCCTCACGGCATGGGCTTAAGAGATGGTACAGTTGTCAAAAGTTATATAACACATCAGTATATATAATTAAATAAGCAAAAATGGACTAGAATATTGCATAGCTCAAATAGAACAAAATAATGTTCTTATCTAAACGTTTACCATAATTAATAAATTAATACAAATTTGTGATTGATTGACAATAATAAAAATGTATTAGAAGAGTAGATCTTAACCATACATTGGGTCAAATTGTATACGTAATAAGATCCTTTAAAACTTATGCATGTAAATTCATGTAATAAGATCCCTTGAAAGCTTAGTGAAAGAATATATGGTGTCCACACATGGGGTAGAATTTCCCAACAAAAGTGATCCACGTTGGTGGTGCTTTCCAAGTTTGTCGTTTTGTTGAGAATTCTACACAATTTTCTGCAATCTACCCCATGATGTGGACACCCTATTTGTTATGCCTTGGAAAATGAAGGTGACTTGGGGAAAATCGTGTGAAGGGCGATCTACCCCGTCAGGGTAACACGCACACGTCAGACCTGCAAAGTGATATGGAGCTCACACGCGTCCATTTTTCTGCAGCAAACCGTGCGAAGTCAGCTTGGGAAGAGGGCAATGGACGTAAAGTCAGATTATATCCTGACAATCGCACCAACCCATGATTTAATGATGATTACACGCTTCAGTTTGATATAAGATGAAGAAGACCCCTTCATTAAGGGGTTCGCCATTCTTACAAAAAAAACTCCCTTCTCTAAAAACCACTTACTTTTCATAACTCTATGTACGTCATCGCTTCGCGACCTGACCCACACAACATCAATAAAAATCATTGGACGTAGGATTTGTACCTTAGCATCTGAACCACTTTAAAAGTCTTCTTGCATTTATTTCACTTCATA